CCAGCCCCGAAGGCTTTCTTAGTTTTCCATAGTCGAGATGGTCACTTGGACAGAGGGAGGCAGAAGGAAGGCTGGAGAGTGAGTCTGGAAGAGCTCCCTGCCTGCATGTCTCGTTGCTCTGGATCCAGCGTCCTGCTGGTTAATGGTGGCTGTGCGGACACTGACTGAAGGGTAGGGAGGGGCTTTGGGGGCCACCAGGCTGGCTGTGGGCTACTTTCTGCTCACTCCCCTGGGTGTTCCTATCGGGGTGGGTATGAGCACGACTCCACAAGGCCCTGATCACAGGCGTTCTGTTTCCTCCTGGCAGACTAACTGCCATTCTTTCTCCCTTTCTCGAATGGATGACACACCCACTTTGGAACAATCTGAACAGCCAGAATCAGGGACTCCAGAGACAGGAATGTAGAGTTCCGTGTAACAGGTATCCAAGGATCCATCCCATTTGGCCAAGAAGACAGCAGTCACTGCAGAGACACCCTGTTCTCACCCATGGGTGGCGCATACGCACTCAGGAATTGCTGGGAAGTTTCTACCCAGCAATGCCAGGAGGGCACCAGTGTCTGGATAAGATCTGGGGTCCACATGCCTGAGGCCATCACACGTCCAGAGGCAGTGCCCTGCCACCTGACCCTGACCCTGACCTGGAAGGAGCTGGAGCGGCCCTAGCTGGTCCAAGGGAGGCTGGTGGCTTCTATTGAGAAGAGAAAGCAAGAAGCTCACCAAGGCTGGTGGCACATGCAGGGACATCCAGGTTACCAGAGAAGCCAGGCCCACAGGTGGCCCAGTTACTTACCTCCCCAGTTGCTAGTCATTGACATCTCCGGAGGCAGCAAAGCACAACGGTTCAAAGCTTGAGTTTTTGGGTCAGTTGACCTGGGTTCAAATCTCACTTCTGTTACTTCCTGTCTGTTGGTAAGTTTTTTTTAAATCTAAGAGCCTCAGTTTCCTTATCTGTAGAATGGGTTTATTTCCCTTGGTCATTATAAGGACTTAGTGAAATAGAGCCTGATTTCACTCCCCGTGTGGTAGTGATCATTGCTGCCTGGCTTTCTAGCGTTTGTTCCCAGTGGCCTAAGCCTTTCTTGCTTTCACTTCCCTTTCTAGCTTTGTCCCTATTCCCTGGACCAGCCGTCCAGGGGATGTGGAACCTCCCAGTGGCACTATCAGGCTAGCCCAGAGTAACCTCAAAACATTTGATTCAGTGGGGGTATTTTTAATGTTGGGCGTAGGTTTTCATTCCAAGCAGGAAGTGAGACCACCTGGAGCCTCTAAAGCCTTTTTATCTCGGCAATTCTATGAATTCACAAAATCCACATCACTGTCATCACAGGACCACCACTCTTGGCTCTAAATCCTTGTGGGGAGAGGGCTATGTTGTGTGTAGTCCAGACAGTGTCCTACCACCAGGGGGAGCCGGCAGGCTAGTCTCTTTCCACTTCTCCCAGAGGCTCAGGGAAGGGACCTGGGTGGCAGGTTTGCCCTTAGGCTGGGGGGCCATGGGCAGTTAGCCTGGTCTTTGAAGGTCTGCCACCTGGTGGACTGGGATTTGCAAAAACGTGGACCCTTCACATCACTTGGGCCCTCCTGTTTGCCGCCTGTTCTGATACACGGCATTCAGTCTTAACGACTAAGGGGATAATGCACGGAAAACAAACTGCAGATCAGAGAGGTGAAGGGGTTGCTCAAGGCCAAACAGCTGGTAAGCCTCCTAGGCTAGCTTGATGCCAACCCCTAGGCCCTGCAGGAGAGGCAGCATGGTGAAGGGGAGGGAGCGTGTCCTGGGAGACAGGAGCTGGGTCTGAGTCCCACTCTACCTCCACCCAGCACAGCTGACCACTCCTGTCCACTCCTATTTCCTCCTTCCACCCCATGGGATCTCAGTGACCTTCTCCTCTGTTTGGGAGAGTTGGTGATGGGCTCAGGATCAGCATGAGCAGAGCCCTGGATACTCAACCAAAACACGTGATTTTCCTGGAGCACAGCCTGGCCTCTTCAGGGACAATTTTCAGTCCTGCCAGACTTCCACATGCCCCATCTAGCCATGGACACCCCAGGCTGCAAGTGCAGCCTGAGCCTGGGGGCAGATGCTGGGATGCAAGAAGCGAGGGCAGCTGCATTAACCCAGGATGCTTAAGGCCACCGTTCACTCGGCTTTATGCACCATGCTCAGTGCTGCACATGCAGCCTCACTTAATCCTCATGCCAGCCCTATGAGACACAATGTTATGATCTCCATTTTACGGAGGAGGAAACTGAGGTGCAGGGAGTACCACAGCAGCTCTGGAATGGGGAACTTGGCTTCAGTACCCAGATCTGCTGACTGGCTAGATCAATGAGGAGTGGGCAAGCTGGGGTCTCAGCCCCTGCTTGGGATCTGGAGAATGTAGAGGGCATCAGTGTTTCAGCAAAGGTTTCCTGGGCACTGACTCTTGGAGACAGGGAGGAAGGAAACTGTGGCTTTTCAGGAGCTCACAAACCCAGCGGTTCAGACAGGACCCAGTGGAGGACAAGTGGCAGCAATAGTTGTGAGTGAGACCATCCAAAGGCCAGCAAGAGGGACGGGGGCTGTGATGATCAGCCAAAGAGCCAGTCATCAAAGGGTGAGAAGAGCGTGCTCTGCAGAGGGTCCTGGGCTGGTGGAAGAAACAGCAGGAAAGGGGGGGGGGTCTTCTCTCTGGCGCACACCCTTGGTTTTCAGGAGAGAGAGAAGGTCTGGGAAGATGCTGGGTGTCCAGGGAAGGGGGCCCCTCACTTTTATGATGCTGGGACCCATCTCGGTGGAAAACATGAGATTTTGCATTTATGGCCGTCGGAAAACTGCATATTTCTGTGTATCTGTCCCTGTGTGAGTGTGAACGTGTGAGTGTGTCTTTGAAGCCTATGTCAAAGTCCTTTTACATCTGTGGTCTCTTTTACTTCCCCAGCTACCTTGAGAGTTTGGCTGGACAGAAACATCATTGTCAAGGACAGATTCAGAACCCCAGTGGGATGAGCTATCTTGCTTATGGTCATGGGGCTCGATAGTTGAAAAGTCTAGCACAATCTATGCTCTTGCCCCTGAATCTTCTGCTTAGACTCCTATCCTACCTCCCAGGGGGCCCTGTATGTCACAGACCACCATGCCATCTGCCCTTTCTCACCCCCAGGGCATTCTCCCCAGAGGACAGAGGGGACTCCAGACTGAGAATAAGCCCTGAATTTTCACAAGAAAACCCCCATCAGGTCTGGCGGGTCTGGGGGCGGGAGTGAAGGACTGAAACCAAAAAGATGAAGATCCCAGTGGCTACAGAGGCCAGGGCCCAAGGCCAGAGTCAAGGGTCCATTTTCTCCTCCCAAACTGCTTTAAGCACCTACCATCGTCTTAAGGAGAAACTGTCACAAAAAAGGACCTGTGAAGAGTGAAGCCATGTGCTCATGTTCAGGGAAGCCACGGGGAGACAGGCGAGGGCAAGGGCCCGCTGGTTTGATCTTTTCTTTCCAGAATCTCCAGTGGGATGGCATTGAGGACAAAGGGTCCGGGGAGTCGACCTCTGTCCCCTGCCAATGACAACGAGCGCCTGCAACGCTCTCCCTCTGTACCAGGCTGCTCTGAACGCTTAGCATATATATGTTCAATTAGTCCTCACAACACAGAGGGAGGAAGGCACAATTATTACTTCCATTTTACAGATGAGGAAACGGAGGCACAGAAAGGTTCAGTGACTTGCCCAACATCACTGAGTGTGTAAGTGGCACAGCTGACATGTGAACCCAGAATATCTGCCTCCAGGCGCTCTTCCGCCTCTATTATTAACAGTAGTAATAACCAAACTACCATTTGACGAGAGCCTCCTACGTGCCTGGGGCTTGACTCCTCACAGCAACACTGTGACTTAGGCGTCGATGTTCTCCGAATTTCTCATTTCATAGATGAGTAAATCCAGGCTTAGCCGGCAGCCTGGGGTGAGGTGACTTCAGAGTCGCACAGAGGCGACTTCCACTCTGCTCGGCCTCTTTAACTCGTGCGCGACAGCTGGAAAACACATTCCCTTTCAGGGCCTCAGTGTCCCTGTCGCTTGCCTTCTGCCCCTGGCCTCCCTGCCTCAGCAAGTGACAGAGAGGATGGGGCTGCGGGACGCGGGGAGTGAGGGTCTCAGGCAATCCCAGAGCCTTTCCCTTCCCTCATCGACCCCCCCAGGAGAAGTCGCAGTTCTGTTTCTTTCTCAGTTGTCAAGCTGGAGTGGAGGGGTGGACCTGGAGGTGCTGGGTGCGGAAGGTGGACGCTGCGGCACCGAGAGGTCAGCAAGGCCGGGCAGAGAAGGCCCAGCTCTGATTTGGGGAAGAGCCGAAGGGCCCAGAAGCCACGTGCCGGGAGCAGACTGTCCTCTGGGAAAAGAGGAGCGCCCTGGACTTGAGGAGGGGGCGGGGAGGGAGAGCCAGAGGAGGCAGGTTCTGGGCAGAAGGGATGGGGGTGGGGGGAGGTAGAGAGGACGCGGACAAAGGAGGCGGCCGGCAGCCCAGCTGTTTTGAAAAATGCTTCCTGTTTCTTTAAAGGCGCTCGCGGCTCGGGCGGCCGGGG